TAACATAATTAGAATATTCTGTCGACTCTACCAATTTCTTTATTCCACATAATAATATTTATTCATATTCATATTAATTTATTAATATTGGGAAAATTTTGCTAACTCATACATTCACATATATTTGGTTTATTTTTGTTGTACAGTCGTAAACTCTTGCTTTTTCTAGCTGAAATTACTACTTTATATATACCAATAAAAAAAGAGTCCAATCAATTATTAAAACCATATAAAATAAATAGAACATTTAATACCTAATTTAAGGTGATTGAATAACTATTCAATAAATAATCATAAATTAAGTATGGTGAGACAGTGCTGCGAAATATGGTAGTGAACCCTTGAAACAAAATATCCATTATAAATAAATTATTCCTTATTCTTCTAAGATTAATATAATTTTGATTTCATTTGCCTGACTACAATTTCTCTGATGTAACAAGTAAAAAATTACATAGAAATATAAAAAGAGAATTAAATATGAGTAACATTGTCAAGGATGACACAGAATTGTAAAACGTGTCACTTTTTTTATTGCTTACACATTTGCATGTGCTAACTTATTGATGTATGTATATCATCATGGGTTGGATCGTCAACACGACTATTCGAAACTCGGATCAAATGCAATTATCTATGCGTCAGTAAGAGACCAACAATTTAAGTACTTATTTATGATAGCTATAATCGTGGACGGAGTATTAACAACATTTTACAGATGTAAAGTTTAAATAGACAATATTAATTTGTAAGTAATAATAATGGCCATGATTACTTAAATACATGATGTAACGGTATATTATAATGTAACTATAGACCGAAGTTAACCAAAAGATTTTACTGTTATAATATAGACATAAATTTATTTTCGATTTTTAGATTCTCTTTATACCAAAAAGCACCTAAATGCATAATATAAATTTAGTATTAAATTAAATATTTGCTTTAAACTATATCCTAAATATATTTCATTTTAATAATAATATGCAATAAATGATAGATTTCTACAAAGGATATAACGTGCGTGATTAACCTTTCATCTAGATTATAATAATCTCAATATCAGATCTCTATTCGTGTAAAAGATATTTTTCATTTATAACATAAGCCCACACCTTTTGCATTTAAGGTAGCCACCAGTATAAAAATATTTTTCTCAGTACATTTAAATTTGAAATTATTTATAATAAAATATTAATCAGTAATAACATTTCTATTGCACTAGAATTTTATGTAGACATTCAAATATAGTATTGCTTTTGCTCTACTAAATGTATAAGCTATATACATAACACTTAAGGGTTAAATTAGCGCTACAATATATAATAAACTGTTTTTTCACAGTATAATTATTTGAGATTGAATTGAGAAATTTCTGTAATAAAATTTATGAGACTTTATGTGTAACAAGTCAGAGATTCTCAGAGATTTAATTTTGACACAGCGCTTAATTCAGATGTTCTTTTTAATCACTCTGTGCTTGTTTCCGAAAATAATTTGAACAAAATCACTTACATTCTAATATTTCTCGACCATCTATATAAGTAAATTATGTAGCAAAGTTAACAATAATTTAATCTCTTCTAACTTAATTATTAATAAGCATTTTAACAGATTCTATAGTACCAAACACGAACATTGTACATTAATAAGGCACTTGCGATGCACAATTATTCAATTTTTATCTATAAATACTAAATATATGAAATATAATAATTGCTATAAATATATTTCTAAAAAATGATATGGTAATTCATACACCCATTGACCAAATACTAAACTGAATCGTTTGAGGAAGACTGTCATAAATTTTATTTGGAATTATTAACTCCCAAAATATAATAATATAATAAGTAGTCTTTGGTTTTAATGTTAAACAAATTTGTGCCAAATATAAAAATGTTAGGTCAATAAGTGTATGAAGAACAATCTACACAATACGTAGATATCTATAAAAGACTAATATCAGTCCAATGTGAGAAATTTATTTCTGAACAGTATCCTTGAAGCTGTTTTGAACATGATGGTAGGTACTTACTTGAACACTGGCTTACAAAGCCGCCATCCTGTTTTCCTTTCAAAAATTCTTCAAACAGCGGAGCTCATAATTTTGTAGTTTGTACGGAACTCATACCTCTCACTTTATTTTGTGCAATTGTAATTTCACATATTGAAGATATAGAATATATCCATTATGAAGCCTAATCACTGCCAGTTTCAGAAATAAAGAGCAAGTTTTTCTACCGACTCTGGCTTCGGTAAAATGCGTCAATTCTTGAATGACGCCTTTATTAATTAATTAGATGAAAATTTTGACACAAAAAATCAAACAAATAAAAGAATTGCGGCGCTAAATATGAAAATAATAAATAAAAAGATTCATCATATTTCGTAAAGTAAAATATGCTCAAGTTCATTATGATATAATTCTTAAATTGAGGACATATTTAGCACCGCTAAAAATAGGGGATCCTAATAACATTCGTGCGTAACAACAACACGGTGAAGCGACAACAAAAATTACAATAGTAAATATAGTCGATGGCGTGTGCCATATAAAATAGAATGTTAATAAAGTTCATCATGTTATAAACATAACAGGCATATAAATGTTAATAGTTAGACTATTATAATACATAGTAATTGTTAACGTGAAAGGCCCAACAGTTATAGCTACATGGTGTTCGATGTTCCGATGATTATGTTACGCGGCGACATGAGGCCGGGACGTGGGGCGGCCGGCCGCGACTCCTGTTAGTTCGAGGGACTCCTCGGCGCCGTTAGCACTCACCTAGCCGGGTTAACGAGAAGAGAGAAAAACAGAATGTTAGTATCGATCAAAATGTCATGGACCGACACGAGTGCCCCAATCGCGAGACGGTTAACGCTTCGTTGATGCCGTGAGTGCCGTATACCGATTGGGTGAAGCTACAGCTAACTAGGTTGACACGGTTAGGAATCGCCTGAGTTTGGCGCAATATATATTGAACTCAAAAGATAGAATAACAATAGTTTAAAGACGAAGGCCCGGTTGCAATGGATATTTTGAAATATTTGTAAGAAATGGATCGTTCGCGAAGTCATGATCTATGAAACTAACGAAGTTTTCGGGGCTATTTGGATAAAATTAATTAACAGGACCGGCACGACATGCAGAGCTATTCAACAAAAGCGATAAACCGTTAACTCGGATTGATATAACTAGTGTACGGTTCTTATATAACAGAAATCTGATAAAACAAATATTAAGGGGGAGTCTATCAGGCATTCGCGCCGCGACATAATGTTCTGTTTCTGTTTGTGGCCCAGTTAATATAATTATTTATTATAACGGGTACTTACTTTATTAGTTTACGTAGTTAATGGTTGAAACATGTTAAAAAAATTTAGTATGATAATGATAATCTACATAGGATTAAATGCCCAATAGTTCCCAATAGAGCAATGCTTGAGACATTTAGGATAATAAATATGGATGCATCAAACATTACTCGACAGTCAAGCATAATAAATTTTATCACTTATGTATAACCATAGCACCCAGATGCAAGTATGTAAGTTATTCGACACATTGCTATAAATTTTAATAATAAATCTGTACATGGTAGCATTCTTTTAAGATTGTTAATTAGTTGTGATAACATATTTTATATCATTACATATTTGCATGTTAGTGACTCATATAATATAAATATATAGTTACAGATAATCTGCAAGTTGTGACAATAGCAGTTATGATAGTGCACTTAATAAATTATTATTATTATTATGTAAACAAACGGGAACTTGGCCTTGTGGAGTTGCAATGTTAGTCGTGTGAGGCTACAACTGACCGCACGTCATCAACTTTATTGACTTATCAATATCGATCATAACATACACATTTCGCGAGTCTCAAATTAAAAAAAAATACATAAATCATAATTTCAGACAAATTTATTGCAAGTATATCTTCTGAAAATGCATTTATTTACAATCAACAATTGTAACAATATTTTATAAACATTACCGTCATATTCAATTTATAAAATTACCATACGTATAATTAATACTCTGATCTAATTCATTTGATATAAAAAGCGTGAAAGTACGTAGAAGGCATTTGTATGCCATATTCGATCCACAAGGACACAAGTGCAAATTATTTTAACTTAACATTTAAACCTTCAAATAAGAAAGTATTTAATACCTAAGGCAAAATAGAAACAACTAATATTAAAAATTTCATATAAAAAAATCTTACATTGACTAAGAAAAATGTTGTGATAATGAAAACGTTAAGTCAAAGGAAGAGCATCTTGTTTTAATACTGGATTGATGATGGCACGAATTCTGAAAATGCCCATCCATTTGACTAATACTGGGCGAGAGACCGGAAAGAAGGATTTCACAACCCAAGTGTAGCACCTTCGTGGATTCTATTTGGCAGAATAAATTCCTAAGCTTAAGCGATATATTCCCTTATTTATGAAAATGTCAAACACCTTATTTAAACTAATGCAGCTATTTTTATATATTTTGTTTCATTCTTTCGAGATGCTGTTGAAAGAAAGTGACAAAATATATACTAATAATAAAAGAAAGTTTAATAAAAGGTATTACACTTTTATAAACAATGTGAATACTCTTTTAAAGGTACTGAATATTTCAAACTCTTGAAAGGACATAGAACTTCAATCCTTCTTCCCTCAAATGTGTATAATTTATATATGATACACGAAATAACATAATGACTGTTCCAAGGCACATGTTGTGATTACTCATTACATTAAAAATATTTGAGAACAATGGCTGATTTTAATTATGCCTTGGATCACAACATGTAACAGATCTAAATATCTATAAAAGAAATATAAAATCACAGTTTTCAAATTATGCAGTGTCACTTCTATTGCGGTATGAAGTAGCTATAGACATAATACGTCTTATACTCATACTTACTACTCGATACAGACCTAACTAATAAGTACACAATTAAATAAATACAAATAGGTATAAAGACACAGTGATAATAAAGCAGAGGCACCCACGCATTCTTGACGAATATGATTGCTAGAAAAATAAATCGCATGACTTTGAATACTTTTATAAATTGTGATGTAAAAGAACGCAGAACTTCCATCTTGTTCCACCTTAACAACTCATTGAAAAAATACTCCAATAATGAGATTCTATTCTAATGGAAGTTCCGAGTTTTGGTGGGTACAACACCAATCAAATCTACAATGCAAGCAAACGTATTCATCATAATAACATGCGTGCGCGCGCGCTTCTCACCTTGTAAACAAAATGGCGGCGTGAGAGCGTTATGGCGGGTATTAAGGGGCCGGCAAGGCAGTGCGCTGGTAAGGGTGCTCCCGCACTTGCGTGAGCCGGCCCGTCCTCCTCACCACACCTAACGGCATATATATATTTAACATCTGTGCCTTAACAGAACAATTTAAACCTTCAATTAACACTGATGCACACCCAAGTACCAAAAAAAAATTACTATATATGTGTGTTACTGGCAAATTCCATTTAATATTAAAGCTGAAAAATACAAGCCATAATAAATTCTTGGCCTTGGGTGACTATATTCCGCTTAAATGCTGGAAAGAAATTTAATCTCAATATTGACGAGTTCTTATAAACTGTGTAGTACAATTAACAAACGCAAACACCTATTTGTCTGTTCCTGCCAAAAATACTACTGAAATCGAACCAATCTAATACTACAATAAAATTTAAAAGATCGCATGCATTTTGGCAGCAACACTAACCTCTATTATAACGCTTACGCCTAAAGATTACCTATTTTATTGCTTTGGAAATAATAACAAAATAAAACATTTAACCTCGGGTAAACCCGGTAAGGTACAGGTAATGTCTGGCTTTAATTTCATTTTAAATAAAATGACTCTACAGTGTCAACTGTGGTTTAATAAACCTACACAATAATATACGGATGTATAATATATTTTCATAAAGCTCACTCTTTCCTAACCTAGCTAAAAATCTTTTTAAGATAATAATAATACTTAACCTATGGTATGTTTATAAATATAATAATATGGCTAATAAATTAATAAATTATGTAATAAGTAATTGTAACAATAACACAGTAATGAGTTTACGACAACAAATGTCATTGTTACAATACATAAACATTATAACCGCCTAGAATGTTCCATATATTTGATCATTATGTTGTGTGTATATTGTTTATTATTAATTTTGTAAGTGTTGTTAAAAAGTTAAAATATGAATGTGTTGTTCCTTTGTAATGTTCAAATCGTATTTGGTCCCTTTTGCTTGTAATCGCTGAATTATGTATGCAAACCACTTCAACATTCAGAGATTCTGTTTGTTAATACGAGAATATGAACTGTTATTCACATAAAAATATTATAAACATTGGAAATAGAAATAGTATAAAAACCACATGCAATATGGTGAACAAATTGTTCGTGAAAACGCTAAACGGTATATTATGTAACTTTGTGATGTACAGTTACTAAAAAGTTAATAGATTAGTTGTGTTACAAGCAAGGGCTATCACAAGAACTACAATAGACAATGGACTCTATAGAGCTATCACCATAGAAAAAGTATGTAATGATGTAGATGAATAAATATATAAAGTATAATTATATAAACTTTGTCTTTGTATAAGAAACTCGGTAACTTAAAGAGTTATGTTGGCAGTTTCAATTAGATTACGCTAAAATTATTTTCTATTTATAAAACAATTATGCAATAACTGCCATCAACCCTAATACGAGGCAACGATGATATAGAACTTCCAATAAATAATATAAAATGTAAAAATAAATAAATCGTAAAACTGCAAATAATAATAAATATTTTTGATTACTATTTAAAAACAAAATATACTTTGTATAAAACTGTACAAACAGTTATAGAAAAAAAACAATGGTCGTAAAAATATAGACAAAAATATTGTAGGTACAAAATGATCGTTCCATTAAACTATTCGTACTTAAAACAATAAATCTTAATCTAATATTATTTGATGGCGTTTATTATGACTGTATAATATACGTCCTGTGAATTCGAGAAGCTTATTAAATCAAGGACGGTAATAGTGATGCGTAGAACGATACGGTGCGTGATGTTGCCGGTCGTATCTTAATGTCGGCTGATGGTATTGCGGCCATTGTCAAAAGCCAGCGAGTAGATATCTCGACGCTGCAAACCCCATCAAAATATTCATTTTATTTCACATAGTATATGAAGCTCGATGAGTTATTGCAGTATAATGCTATATTAGTCATGTTAGTTAAAAATCACGAGCCCTTTTTATTACGTATAAAAAACGAGATGCTGCCGCGCGACAAGTTGCAATATAATTTGACTTTTATTATTTGTACTCGAATACTATTCATAAGATAAAATGGAAGCTGAAGTAAAAGTGAAGCTGAATTGAGATTGTCACTATACAAAAATATGGTACATGCATAAAGTCTAGTCAGTTTCGCTGTGAAAATTCAAAGTATGCAAAACATGCGGTTATATAGATCTGTAGGTATTATATACATATTTAAACTTTTTCTTTATCATTTGCGTTATAACGACTGATTATGATTATACTGTTTTTTTCTGACAAACGTAGGTTATTATTTCCCGGTATCGTATATATAGTTAGTACTACATTTTGACACTACGATGTTTGATAACACTAAATAATCTTGATGATTTAAGAAACTACTTCAATATAATATAAGCCTTACAGAATTGTAATTGATGTAGTATTTCATAAAAGTAGATCTAAATTTCTTATCACATGTATATAAGACATGAGTAATATTTTCTTGGTTTTTAAATTTAACAGAACAACATGTTCGCTAATGAAAATATCATTGAAGTATGATGATTAAATTTACCGAGGCGTTATCAAACCTCGAAGCGTGAGATCAACGGGCGAATAACCCACCCGTATGGTCTGCAGCGGCGTATTCAGCCGTCAGTAGAGGGCTGGCTGCCGCCGTCAAGGCCGCGTAGTTTGCGTAATCGGCATACGGCGAGGCGTATATCAGCTGATGCGCTGGTTCGCCCGGAGAAAGCAGCCCAGCCGCTGCGCCTGCGCCAGTGCCGTTCAGCAACCCGGCTTGTGTGCCTGGCGCAGCCGATATACGCGGCGAGAGTATAAGCGGAGCTCCCAGAGGGGCGGAAGTGCGTATTGGTACGCCGCCAACTCCGGCGACGCCACCACCAGGACCAAGAAGCCGCTGGGTTTCGGCTGCCGCAGCTGCGGCGACCCTCCTCCACTCCTCGTCAGCTGTGAAGTCCCCTTTATCGTATCAATCGAATGTTATTTTAATTAAAATATTTAAATATAGCGTAAACTCTACACGAAACACAAACAACAATAATAAATAACCCTGGACAATTAACACACTAGATGGCGCACATCTATTCCCATGGCAAGCAGAACTTGTGTTATGGGTACTAGACAGCTAATATAAATACGTAGATACTTTTTTTTTGAAGATACATACAAAACAACCCAGACCGATACAAACAATAATATTCATGAATACAAATGTGAGCACCGTAGGAGTAATCGGACCCATCGGAAGTAAAGCAATGTACTAAACCTCTATACCCTGTAATGCCACTTCTATAAACCACTATCCCCACAGAAGCCGTCAAAAATCAGTTTACCAAATCCTTATTCTATCTAAGGTGTTTCGGTTTGAAGTTTAAGATATAGAAATGGAATTACAGTGTATGGAGGTATTAGTACTCAGTGCTATGGAATGATAATGCGTACTCGATAGCACTAATGTTAAGTGACGTCATGTATCATGACATCATGTAACGTCATAGTACTGACTATGCGCTTTCATGTAGATGACGGCGACTTTCACTTAGGAAGCTTATTTGCCATTTCCATTACATATAAATATAATTTAAAATAACACCAAATTATATATCTTTGTCGGCAACTTTATACCTAATCTGTCATATATATTTTGCTTATTCTATAGTGTAATTAAAAAATGGTAGCAATCACACGTTTGCAATTAGAACCTTTCGCAATAATAAAAAAAAAAAAACACTCAATAAAATGTGTGATAAGAAAAGTAATCAAAATGAAATCACCCCTCTGTTAATAGTTAACAACCATAACATGCTGCAAATCTATTAAGTTAGTCATCTTTGGAGTTAACGATTACTCATCGCCGTAAATACAAGTACTAATAATTAAAACAATCAGTTTTACAAGTCTATGAAACTAGTAGAATAATTCTATGATCATAAAAACTCAAATACCTTGTACCAATCCGAAATAAACAAAGCATTTTTAATCGGACGAACCATATTAAACCGGCATTGAAACAGTGCATTTTTAATATCGTAATGGCAGATTGACATTCCAGCAGATGCAGCTTAAAAATTAATTGAAATCCATATCATACCTACTTTTTGTTATTGAATATTAATCAAACTGACTCTTATTTATAAGTTAGTAGGCCTGAAAATTATAAGTATAATATTGTTATATACTGTATTATACATTGTATATTAGTTACAAAACATGAATGGTCATACTTATGATACACTGACCGTTGACTGGCATGGCGGCTTTCGCACTCGAGTCGCGATATGTGCCATTTATGATGGCCAGTTCCATTAACTGACGCTTTTTTAATTCATCCTCGCCATCAGCTTGCTGCAAAAAAGTAATATTTAAGACAAATTAAATATATTATTTACACAATGGTTTTGCATATTTCCTAAGGAACAAATTTTACAAAAAATCAGGCATACAGGATGTTAAAAATTTTAACTATATGTATCAATGAAATTATATTTTTTTTTTCATAGGTATTCATTAGGTATTCACCTATAGGTATTCGATTTAGGAATGATAAATATATATCAGATTTATATATGAAGTATGATAGATTTTATTTCAACATTTTAATATCAGATTAAAAGTCTCTAGAATTGGAACACTAAACTATTGTTTTGAGTGAGTTTCGACGGGCAACACGTCGTAACACAAAAAACATTTTTTTTTTACTTTAACATAAATATGTGCCGCAAATATAATAAATGATACAATCAACTCGAGATATTGATTTATATGCATACTATTCTAATCATTCGATAGTTTTCTTTGCCATTTAGACCCTTCAACGTGTACCATAATATGTATACAGGTGTACTGTACAGTACAAAATATTATTTTCTTCAATGTTTATTATTTTTTGTAACAACAGTAATATATAAGATATTGGACAGGGTTATTATGTGATCTGAGATGTTTGTATGTAATTAATATACTTACGGGTACAAGGAGACGTTTCACTTCCTCCACGGCTCTGGCGAGCTTAATCTTGGCTCGGTTCTCAGTATCTTCGACTGTGAGAAGAACATGTAGGTCGTCAGCTAAATGTTCCCAATTTGGTTTACCCCTGTTTGCATCTTCCTGTAAATTCACCAAAGAACAAAAATTAGAGATTAATCATTTACACTCACATATCAAATAGGTTTTATGGATGATCAGTTTCAGTAGCAGTAATGCCTACGATTTGATTTGCGAAAAATTACTTAATAGAAAAGCAAACTGACAGTATGCTTATGTTTCAATTGGTAGGATTCCAATCGATCAATTATGAAACCCTTTTGTGTCAACGGAATGATTAATAATTAAACCTTTTGATAAACATTGTAAGATATATCCTTAGAAGAATGTTATGATGAATAAAGTCTTCACTGATATTAGAAAAAGTAAACATAGATAAAATCAAATAAATAAAGAATACAAAACCTAACTTGTATAAATAAAAATATCGTGAAATTGTATGCGAATGTAATTAATCATCATGTGTATACTTTACAAATGCTCATAATTATACTAAATAAAATATATAGAGAAGCATGAGAATTCATGGCCTCAATTCCCCTACATTGTCATATTACAAAACCAGTAGTCTGTACCCACATTTTTAATCCAATTCCATAATTTGCAGCTGCTTGTAAAGATAATATATTTTATTAAGTATGCTTAAAAGTAATTTAATTAAAGTAATACGGGGATCGGCAAAGTAGGTACTGCAATAAATTGCTTGATCAATGGAACAAAAATTCAAGATGTAATATCGTAATCTTTAAAATTTACTTACGAGGACTCTATCACTACATAACTCACAATCAATTTTAAACTTCCAGTGTAATTCTAAACAAATTAAGAATAGATTTTGAAGAATGAGTGAGTTTGAATACTTCTTAATAAGCTTTAACGTTTAATATATCAATCAACATTTATAAAATAATGTAGAATACCAAAACTACAAATATATACAAATACAATACATATTAAATAGACAGTTACCTTTTTCTTGTCTCTCATTGATCCTTTGCCTCGGACCATTATTTTGCATCCTGTTTCTTGTTCTAATTGTTTCGCAGTCATGCCTCTGGGCCCTAAAATTCTTCCTACGAAGTTGAACTGTAACAAAAGAAGTTTAGAATTAGATTTATTAGGTTGTGGCAATAATCCTGCCCATACCTGCACTATAATTGAGACAGTAAATGGTTTTGAGGATATCTTTATCCCCAGAGATAGATTTCATTAACTATTAAAAAATTACAATGAGTGGCCAAAGTAGTTTTGAAAATAATGTACATTATATATTTTTTGTGAATACAGTTTTTATGCATACATGGAGAAGTTTTATCATACAAATGATAAGATATTTCAGAGAAAAATTAAAGTCTAGATTATAACAGATTATCTTTGCTACTAGCAAATATCTTGGGCTATTTAAATCAGTAGGTACACGAAACAACACGTAATGCCATTAGCTGTGGGATTAATTACTCGCTTCGCTACACATAAACCATATTTCCTGTGCGCGTGCACAGCACGTATATTTAACCTCAATTCCTAAGCTTCAAAGCATCGGTCAGCATAGTGTATATGAACTGTGAACCAGTACCATTTTGCCACCATCGAGCGAATCTAAGAAATGGATCAGTTGGCATAGAGCCCAAACAACATAGACATCTAACAATTCTTTTTTAAAGGGATTTCAAATATAACAGTATTTGCTGTTGGAAAATATGATATTAAATAATAGGTAAAAATTTAGGCTACGAATTAGTCACATGTGTCATGGTTAATTGTTCTGCGTGTCAGCGTGTAAATTGCTTGGCGATGGTATTAAATATGACTGAAAGGTTTACTCGAGCGAACAAAATATGACGTCAATAACGAGAAAATATTTAGAGGGGATAATATTGGATGTGAGTTTAATGGATTTTTATTTTTGTATAATGAATAAAATGAGCCTATGCGTAGAATATAACGCAACCTTATAGCAAAAATAGATAAGGGTAACAATGTGACTATTAGAAATACGAGACACGGAAGTAAGCGCTCATAACGAGAGGACACTATTCATTATCTGTCGCAGTCCAACGCCTTTGACGGTGACAAACGACAAATTGTAAATCACAGAGAGAACAATCGAATTGTTATTTGATATATACAGATTCAGAACTGATAAAATAAATCTTTAAGAACTACTACCAGAATAAACTTTTAACTACACGAACATAGAGCATCTCTATAATAGAATGTATATATTATCATTACATTATATAAGTACATATAACATAATAATTACATAGGTAATCACTAAATTCCAGCACGTATACAATTTGAAATAACGAAGACATTACAAAGAAACGATGCTTTTTAATAAAGACTTAAAATAAATAAAAATTACAACAAATGAACGAACTTGTTTTTCCTCCTTTACTTTGAATATTGCAGTATTATTATAACTGCCCTTTACAGCTATTTATATGGCCGCGGTTTCCAACCAACATTAAAGTCTAGCTGTAATTTTGAAATGTTAGTATCGTAATGTTAAAGAAGAGTGCAGCCCTGCCCTCTTTAGTGGTTTGCCGCAAAACGATTCCTGTAAACGAAGACCGCTTTTGCATGCTAACCGTAAGCATCCTATCCTATACAACTGTACAAAACAGTGTAAACTTCTAACATAAAACATTTATTAGAGGAAGTTACTATTTTATTGCGTGATGAAAAGAATAATTTATGTCCTGATGAGAATTGTGGTCCAAATACCGATTTGAGAACATTCTTGCGGAAATACGGAATCATTGGTTATAAATTCGAACATAACTCTAACGAAATGATATACCTCTAGTGATTTATTTTTACGTTAGACAGTTTGTATATAATTTTCATAGTTAGTAACGAGTTTTCAGAAATATGCACCGGAACAGAAATTATTATATTCTATTCGACATACACGACAATGCAAGGTGCATAAAGACATACTTTGCCACGTGGCTAGACTCTGTGAGTATAGCTACGTCGTCTTAATAAAAATAATATTGGTAAAGAATTAAGCCGTTTATAAATATATACCATTGTAAAATAACAATATTTATTCTCGTGAAATATTGCAAGTGTCTAGCCATCGCAAATGAAAACCGATGTAGGTGCCGCTGGTCGCGACCGGACGTCGCGACATGTTGAAACGTTTTGGCTGAGCGCCCGTCTCCACGTTGCATTTCCTACAACATATTTTTTACAGCGACTTACGACTAGTTTACCTAATTATGCCAGTTTATCTAATTATAGAAATTATGCAATGCATCCAATGTCTAATTCTTAAAATGACAAAAGTTTTGTTATAAATATGTACTTAATTTTCTGTACAAAGTGAAATTAACAAAGTAATTGTTCCAAAATAAGAATTAATAAACATAATAGATGATATCAACAATAGCGATGATTCATTGTATTGAGTCTAAAAATATTGTACATTATTCATTCCAATAAAGTTAAAGAACACATAGCACATTTTCTTACTTTGCCAAATGCTTTCGACCTAATTGATGAAATTCATTGTATCCCTAAATAGAATAGATCTGTATACATTAGTCTAACCGTCTAGCGAAGTAAAGATCATTTCCACGTATACAACTCAAATTGATGAGTTATTTTTATGCACACAATTCTAATCGACAGTACAAAATTGACACATAATTGACATACGTTACTGACGGATAAATATGAATCAATTTTCACTTTAATACCTAATATCGATATCGTTTATAAAATGTTACTTAATTAAAAGGGCAGATCAAAAACGTTTGCATTGTAAATTGAGATTACCTTTTGTGAGAGAGATTATTACAATATTTTTAATTACACGTAGAGTAAATAATAATCATCATGCTATGGTAAATCTAATTCTAATTTTAGAACAATGCAACGTGTTATTACTATTTTGTTTAGACATAATATTATACATTTATAGCTCTTACAAATAAATATTTGGTACTAAATCAGTAATGTACGTGTATATAAGATAAATATCTGCCATATTGTTTGCATCTACGCCATGTGTATAATTGAAGTGAAACGTATACCTACTCCGAGCAATTTGCTAGACATTATACAAATATTGAATCATAATTGAATATGGATTGTAAGTAGGCAGCTATTATTCACAAACCTTATATAGAGTAGAATTTCTGACATATTAAATTTTACGAAAAACTTGTAGTCTCCGTTACATATCCCTGAGCAAAACAAGATGGGGCTATACTTGCCTTAGTTTTATTTATGTACATTATACAAACTATTAAAAAAATAATGCTTTTTTTAACATATAATAATATCTCGATTTAAATTAATTACATAACATTAAATACACTCTAATATTTATATATAAGGAGATAATTATATAATTATTTTCAATGAGATTTAATTAAGCAATATACAGTTTCGACATACAAAAATATTAAGATGTTTGATTACGCAGCAAACTTTATTTAGGTCATAGGTACGATGTATTCGAGTGCAAAAGCTAATTTGATTAGTGATTCCAATTTGAAAGTGTGAATAATAGGTTACAAAGAAACATTCAGTAGGTTTTGTTTTTGTAAAATGATTGTAATTTAAGAAAAACTCTGTATTTTACTTCGTATACCAATATATTTATATATAAGGAGATAATTATATAATTATTTTCAATGAGATTTAATTAAGCAATATACAGTTTTGCTTGTATTCGTTAATAAATATCTTGTGATTTAAGTATATTAACTAACTACATTTTTTTTCATACCTCTATGCAATAAATCAGGTAATTATATAATAGAATATTATCTTAGGTAGTATATTGTAGGTATATATATATATATAGTATGTACAATATTGTAAACAGCAACTGTGTGGTAAATACAACGTCGCCGGCGCATCTAATCGATAAACATTGACCAATGCATTCCTTCTCGAGGCGCACGCGCATGCAGATTTACCTAGTCTGTTTAGTGGAACTAGGGATGATTGATATTAGAAAAACATCGATATCGACATCGATATGCGAAAATTTTTGAATGAGAAACATCGATGACATATCATAAAATTTTGTGTCAAGAATTACTTTTGCTCTTATCTTTTGTCTCAATGACTTAACATCGATTTTATTTTATTTATTTATTAGCAGTACAATACAATGTATTATTGATACAGTACTATTGATGACTTGACATCGACATAAAAATATCGATGTTTTTGGACTGCACATCGATGTTTGTCGATCATCCCTAAGCGGAACAAATGTAAATCCAGCTTATCTGATCTGTGCGAACTGTACAGTAATAAATTAAATCATTATAGCCTATACCTAGAAATACCGCCTGGAGCATTTTATAAATTAGTGATTACACTGGTGTTGTAAAAACAACAGAAATAATTCATAAAATTGAAATAAGTTAATTGCAATTGTTTTACTCTTGATATAGTAAATAAATAGTATATAATATTATAACTCTAATATAATAAATAATAATAGAATTCAGATAATAATAATTATGTTTATTATTATTATTATCAGAAATAGCCATTTTCTTAACAACAAAAAAGAATACCAAAATATAAAAAAGTATCGATTGCATATAATACTTAGTCTAGTTAGATTTATACATTCGACGATAATAAAGAGATTTCTCGTAACTAAATCTCGTAACTTCCTTTGTACAAGAGAATATAGAAATCCAAATTGGTTAAGTCAAATAATAAATAATTTAGCTAGTCTAATAAAAACTACATCACTGCAAAACTAGTCAACAAAATTAACATAACGCACCGAAATCCGGTTAGTATCAGTTCTATTACTGCGGCACTGCCCTCTATTAAGATCACAATGGTCCTTACTGCAGAAATATACAGTGTACTAGGTAATTGGCAGTGGTTTGGTTCCCTAATGATAGGAACGTACACCGCAAACCACATGCCCTGTGGAAACACAAACACGAGAAAGCTGTCTACTGGAATACACTATATTATAGTAAACTGTTAAATATTATATAATTTTCTTTTTATGAATTAATACTTACTATAACTTGACGATAATAAAGAGATTTCTCGTAACTAAACCTTTCCTTAACTAATCCTCCAATAAC